CCCAGTGACAGTATTACCCATGAACAGTGACTAGATGTCCTTTAGCACTTTATGCTGACAGACTAAGTGAGGAGAACCAACTAAATATTGGTGCAAAATCAGGATCTCTGACTTTTTGTGTGTGTGTGTGTCCGCTTCTTCACTGATGTTGCCAACCTCACAAATGGTTCAGATTAGGGTGAAAAAAGTGAACTTGTTTGGGAGCACTCAGAACCAGAAGAACCGATTATATTGTGATGTAAACTGAATTGATTAAAGAAGCAATATGCCTGCTTTAAAGTGTAAGATAACTGATACTCAAAATTAAAACGGAACATATTCAATAAGAATATATAATCAGTCCAGACTTTGCATCCTCTGTTTTCAAGCGTAATGTAGGAACTTCTCATTAGAAGGATCCATACAGATTATTTCTCTTGGAACAATTATAAACACGAACATGCCGCTAACAAAATACTATTTTCTTAGACACTGCCAGCACATGCTATACTGGGAATGGGGAGGACTACAGAGGAATAGCAACAGAAGATGACTGTCTGCCCTGGGACCTTCCCTCAGTAGTCAGGAGGGGTCGTTACCATGCTCGTTTGAGTAATGCTTTGCAGCTGGGACTGGGCAAACACAACTACTGCAGGTAAGAAAAGCATCACTCTTCCTGGGGTGACTTCTATTGTCACAGCCCCAGAACTGCCTCAAGTGATGGTACATGATTTTAAAAAAAAAAAATAACAAAATCTTGGAGATTAATTTAGACTGACAATTTTTGGAATGTGACTCTTTGAAGCATCTAGAGTTCTTACCACTGAAGCTGATCATACTGCAAAATTCCCAGTATGCAACAGAAGCTGTCAATTGTTAATTATTTTCTCTGGAATATATTGCAAAAGAACACTTTTGGCCTTTCCAGGACAGTTAGAAATCTAAGATAGTATCATTTTTTTAAATCTGTCTTTATGAAAAGAACACTTCTTTTATCTTCTAGAAACCCGAATGGAAGCAGCAGGCCCTGGTGTTACACCAAAAATGGATTTGCCATTCAAGAAACAGCTTGCAACATAGAGAAGTGTGGTAAGTAACATTAATTTTAAGACAAATGATTTTATTTTTTTTTTAACAGCACGAGGTTGATGCTTAGTTGTAAGTACATCTGAACAAAATTTCTCCTTCTACAGGGCCTGCATGTGGTCAAAGGAGCATGAGCAAGTACTTCAAGATTGTTGGTGGAAGCCAGGCAGAGGTTGAGACTCAGCCTTGGATAGCTGGCATCTTTGAAAACATGTGGGGCATGGACCGTTTCCTGTGCGGTGGCAGCCTCATTGACCCTTGCTGGGTGCTTACAGCAGCACACTGTTTTAACATGCCGTAAGTTTGCAGTTCCACATCCTTATTTGCAATTTTTTTCAATGGATTTCTTTGCCAGGTGCTCACTGAGCAACCCTTCAAAATGTACCATAGTAAGAATGTTCTTTTCGTCGAGCAAAACAAGATGAGCGGCCAGTAAGCTTTAAGCCTCTGGGAGTCCAAGTTGAGCAGAATGAGCTAGCAAGGCGTGAACTTTTGGGAGGGTTATGCAATTTAAATAATTTTAGCTTAAACTGGAGTCAGGGCTTCATTTTTACTGTAGCTGTTCTCAGAACTTAAAAGTTGTACTGAAAGGTGTTGAGCTGTTGAGCAATACACTTATGGGTGGCTTCTGTTGTTTTTCCTGTGGAAAACTGATCATCCTGCAGAGGACTCTCATTGCCCATGCCTGGTATTAGTAGCAGCTCAGTAGGTGTGCGTTGCAAAATGCCTGAACATCTATCTTAACCCCCCCAGGATGCTTTCCTTTAGAATACTGGATTAATTTTCAAAGCTGAGTAAATCTTGCTTTTTCTTGTCAGCATTAAAGTAAACATGACACAGAACTGGAGACTGGATCTAAACTGTACCTCAGTGTCAGAAATCAGTAGTCTTCATGAATCTTTTTACTTTCACTCAGGTCAAAAAGGCCACTAAACAAATCCATCTACAAAGTCTTCCTTGGGAAGTCCATCCTGAATGTTACTGACATGAATGAACAAGTATTCATGGTTGATGACATCATCTCTCACCCTGGATTTACAGATGTAACAGGTGGCAATGAGAATGATATTGGTAAGTGTCGTCTTGGTACGAGCCTTTAATTAATAACACTTAGGATGGCTAAAGGCTACATAATTATGGCACACAACTTTGTTTAGAAGTAGGACTGGAGATAAGATGAAGGGGAACAGGAACTAGGTGCTTCTGAGAACTGGGTCTGTACTGAGAAAGATTTTTCCCACTGGTATAAAATTGGATTGTGGCACACATTAGATGCATTACGTGGCACACAGTCAACTGTGAGCCTGTCTTGTCTCTGGTCCTGTACCAGGCATGACTTTTCCATAAGCACTGGTGGCAGCATCCCATTTCTACCATCTAATTCTGTGTTTACAGAGATCAACTGTACGTATAGTAAATGATGGAAAAAATGCAGGTACAGCAGGTTTCATCATAGAGTAGGGAAATGCCATATGAGGTAGCATGTTAGCTGAAATCTTTCCTGAATTAATCCAGACTTTGGTAAGTCTCTCTGGCTTTCACAAGCTTATCCCTAAACCATCAGAGATGGGTTTTTGCAATTTGCACAGAATAGACTCACCACTCCTGCATTTGACACCTAGAGCTCTGCAACCCCTCCCAAATTCCTGCTGCTAAGGAAAAAGACTCAAAGAATGGCTTCGTAAGCCCTTCTGGTGAGGAGAACAGTAGACACTGCCCCCGCTTCAGCAGGGCAGGGGGTGCCATGCTCTACAGCCAGTCAGGAAGTTGAGGTTTTCCAACACCTGAAAATACACTCGCAGAAAAATTTTCCCAGAGCTATCAGGGAAGCTATCAGCTCTTCCTTTCAAGAAGGAAGTTCAAGTTGAAACACTTGCCAATTCCAGCACTGGGAAATGAGTTCTGTTACTAAATAACGACCCAGTGTCATTACAAAAAGCAATGAGAGGACCCATATGTAACCAGAACTAAACTTAATTGCAACTATTCCCATTAACTGTACCCTATACTCCTATTCTCAGAACTTGGGGGGTAGAACTTGCTTTACAAATCTAACTGTGTGTTCTCTGACTTGTTTCTTAGCTTTGATAAGGATAAGATCAGCTTCTGGGCAGTGTGCAGTGGAATCCAAATATGTCAGAACAGTCTGCTTGCCAGAGCGGAACCTTAACCTAAGAGACAATACCCGCTGTGAAATAGCTGGCTATGGAAAACAAGATTTTTGTAAGTAAATGACTTCTCTTTATAAAAGGTTTTATTTCCACAGTGTGGGAACTGCAGCATTTTTATCCTTCCTGATGTGGTGAGGAATAGAGGAAAAAAAAAAACCACCACCACCAAAAAAATCTAAAGCTGTGTTGGAGGAGTTACAACAGATTGCATTTGTGCAAAACTTCCTTCAAAAACTATCGAACTCTCTCTAAGAACTAAGCTTTATAATTTGCATATGGAACACTGTTTTTCATCTTCCAAATTTCTTCATTAACAATAAAAGTAATAAGAGCCTTGTATCAGAACTGGAATGGTTGTACAAATTTCTCTTAAGTGCTGAAAGTGTGTGTTATAGGTTGTTATATTTGTTTGTCTTGGATGGTGAAAATAGTTAAATATTATTTTGTTTGCAGATGACATTTACTATGCTCAAAGACTGATGTCAGCCACTGTAAACTTAATATCACAGCAAAAATGCAAATATGAGTACTATGACGATACCAAAGTTACTGACAACATGGTCTGTGCCGGAGATCCCACATGGATGACTGATGCATGCAAGGTACAACTAGTCTGTTTTATCTGCTAAACCGCTTTAAGTGCATGTACACTCTATGAATCAACTGATGGCATCTTGTAATTCTACTGGTCAGAAGAGTCTCTCTTTATGCAGCAGGAATTTAGCACAACTAGTGCAGTTGAGCTGTAGTGTGGCCAACGACATGGAATAAGGCTGGGACCTAGAGTTAGGTGTTACCCCCTCCACACCTCCTTTGGAGGAGCAAGAAGTGCTGCATCTTGGCTACTGTTATTCCTCAAGGCCTTACTTATAATGTATTCAAGAAATGGCTGGCAGATATGTATCAGAGGAGCACAGTAGCTATTCCAGTCTCAGAGTGTACTTTCTTAATGTTAAATAATAGCTCTGCGAAGGGCCAAAAGGAGAACTTCTGGGGGACACTGAGCTCCTCCACAGATTCCACAAAACTAGATTTGCTTCCCTGCACCCTCACTGGGCAGAGTTGCCATATGAGCCACTAAAGAGAACAAGCATTGTCCTTAACTTTAAAAATATGGACAGGGAGACAATTGCTTCTGTGATGAAGAATTGGGTATGTTGCTTTTGACTCTATAATCACAGATATTAGGCTAGTGATTTAAACTTAGGATGGAGTGTTCTATACAAGGTAACTGTTCTCTCTGTGCCCTGCTAGGGGTGAACTACACAACTCCTTACCTTACAGACTGCATTCAGCTAGCACCAGATGCTGAGCCTTCTCTTCCATCTATGCAGTGTTCTCAAAAATAAAAACTTTAGCTCATAGATATTTACTAGCTTGTATCACTCCAGAAAAACAATCACAGGCTCCTGCTCTAAAGGCTCCATCTGCAGAAAATGGCCTAACATATTGTCTTTCCATTGTCAGGGAGATTCTGGTGGCCCCATGGTGTGTGAGCACAAGGGCAGGATGACGCTTTATGGGATTGTCAGCTGGGGAGATGGCTGTGCGAAGAAAAACAAGCCTGGCGTTTACACCAGAGTTACTCGATACCTTGACTGGATCGACTCCAATATGAATGCTGTAACTGCCAAGAGTCGTTTCCTCCCTGAACCAAAGTGACCTTTTTTCCTACATCTGGACTCTATACAGATGCCAGGACACTGAAGTCCTGAATGTCACGAGAGGCTTTCCTTTGAAATGCTGGTGTGGACGGCTGCTCACATCAGGGTTCCTGACGCAGAGAGATGGTTGATAAATTATATTACTACTCTGAATTACCTGAAAACCACTCCATGGGAAGCTGAAATATTTAACATTTAAATGAGTATTCCCATGCACGATACTATGCATATCAAGTTATCTGTCCACTTCACTTATGAACCAGCATTTGGTCTGGAAGTATGGGTAAAGTTTTAACTTACTTAACTCAAGTATTCATTTTATACATGGCCTGAGTCTAAAATCTTTTCTCATTACACTGAATAATGCCAAGACTCAAGTCCTAGAAACCTACCTGTTAAGACCAGTACTGAAAGGGTGACCAGGCTTTGCATCAGGAAGTGGAAGAAATTATATCAGCGTTAATTATCAGCAATGCATGAAGGACTAAAGTCTACATAGACTGAGGCAACGCTTAGTGTGCAAGGTTCATTGCTGTAGACCCAACATACAGTAAAATCCTAAAGGTGGCACTGGTAGCTATGTCAGTGTTACAATCTCAAATGTATTACATTCAGGAACTGTACTGCAAGAGGCAAATTGAAAGGAGTCTGGGTCCCCTTTAAAGATCTGATTGTACAACTGCTCTCCATGTACCTATGCACTCAGGAGAGGATTTAAGGACTCAACACCCACTGAATGATGTAGGTGTCTGAAGTCAGAACTTTATTTCCATTTGTTTAACTGATATTATATGGAAACTACTTATGCTGGTTTTATTTTTAAACTTTATTTTATAGATCTGAATTATTTTTGAGGGCTGGAACCTCAAGCTTTATTTAATTATTTTTACTGTGTTTAACTTATTGTTTGTATGATGGATGTTAAAACATCAATAAAAGACCTCTTATTCTTACGTGTCTCTTCTTGCTTGAAAGGGGAATGGTATGATTTGAAAGACAACTGCCATTATTAAGTCCCAGTCTGAACCATAAATGGTTCAAGCTCCTCTTCGCTAAAGCATTTCATGTGAGGAATTGATGCCATTTTCTATGGGCTATAGAGTGCAAGACGTAGAGTATAGGATAAACCAGAGCTCGGAGAAAGCAATATCCATTGCTTCAGGACTCCAGTCTGGCCCCGTGGACTAAATAGTCTAAAGTTGTTGCGAAACATTGGGTGAACTAAAACCAAAATATCCTGTTTAGGTTTCACCCTAAGGGAATACAGTTCTTATGCTCCAGAACTTCAATATGATCAAATCCATTGGTGGGGATGATCAAGGGATTGGTTCCAAAAGCTCACTCCTTAACTAAAATGCTACTGCCTATGGAAGGATGCCATGCAGCAGCAGCATAGAGAGTTGCTAAAAGGAAAGAGGTAGTTTTGGCTTTCCTTAGTACTTCTTTGTGCGCACTAATTTTCAAAGAGAAGCATTCAAAGTTGACCTCTAGTACTGCTAAGCACAATCTCAGGTAGTAGAAATTATAGCTAATGGCAAGATTGATTTATATTTCAGCTGAAAGGATTCATAGTAGCAAGTGTTAAGAATAAAGAATTACTTAAAGCCAACTGCATTTATAATTCTGAATGAAACTTCACAGTTAACCACAAAGTAAGTCTTTGCTGAAGATACAGTCCATTGTTTGGGTAGACAACAAAGGCAGAAAATATTCTCAATGTCTCTCTTTTGAGTGGTTAATGGAATGCAGTGGGATTCTAGCATCACTTCAACATCCTGAAGAGCATGGGCTGTCTGCTTTCTTTAAAGAACAGTGTTTGTACCAAATCTATAGAGAAGAGCTTGTATCACAGCATCAAGATGCTATATATTTGTGTGATGTTTGCAATTGTGAAAGTAAAAGGCTTATACAAATGCCAAGCATTTAACACTGTGAAAAATTACTTCTTATACTGAAATGACCATCAAGGAGCAAATTAGCAGCCTAATTAGCAGGATAATTTCTGAAGTTAGCAGCCCCATCCATCCTAACCCAAGTAACACAGTGAAGCAGCAGGACTCCAGTAGTTATTGGTCAAAAGATCTCATGCTAGCAATTTGGCTTGCCAATTTTTGGCCTATTTCTGAAGAAGTTAGTACCCAAATGTCTTCTTAGTTATTCATCTCCTCATAAATGCAGAATTTGGGGTTGAATTACAGGACTGCTATGGAAATTTAACCAATTTTTGTAGATCAGACCATACTAACGTTTCCTTTCTCATTATAGTTCATTTAAGAATTCAGGAGGAAATTTCAACTGAAATGACCATCAAGGAGCAAATTAGCAGCCTAATTAGCAGGATAATTTCTGAAGTTAGCAGCCCCATCCATCCTAACCCAAGTAACACAGTGAAGCAGCAGGACTCCAGTAGTTATTGGTCAAAAGATCTCATGCTAGCAATTTGGCTTGCCAATTTTTGGCCTATTTCTGAAGAAGTTAGTACCCAAATGTCTTTTTAGTTATTAATCTCCTCATAAATGCAGAATTTGGGGTTGAATTACAGGACTGCTATGGAAATTTAACCAATTTTTGTAGATCAGACCATACTAATGTTTCCTTTCTCATAGTTCATTTAAGAATTCAGGAGGAAAGTTCAGATGTGTATGTGCAATGAGCTCTCATATAAACTTTTTGGTCTCAGTCAAAAGCTGCTTAATGATGAATTACTACCGATTTCAGACACATTTTGGAAAAGTCTTGAGCAAGAAATTTGTTGTGGTCTACAAGCAGTGCTCTGACTACAAATGAGCAGAATGGGCTCCTCTTAAAAAGTACTCAGAATAACGTTTTGGTCACATGGTTTTTGTCATTTTACATGCTCCAAATAATATGAAAAACCTCTTAAGAGAGAAAAATCTTGGGTTTCCTTTCTTATTTTTCATAAAATAGAGATGAGCCAGATAAACTCAACTCATTGTTAGACTGATTGATGTCTTCACTTCATAGCAAGGCAACTGTGAATTCAGAGTTCCTCAGGTACAAATTCAACTATAGCAACCCATTCAAAAATCAAGGGAAAATGCATAAACTAAGTGCTTGCTTTCCAAAAAGCACACTGGTAATTTGTGAGAAGCACACTTCATCTTGTAGCTTATTGTAGTTTGGGTACAATGAACCTTGCACATTGTTGATGGAATGATAGGAATAAGAATCTTAACAAAGCCTTGTCCTTTAGGCTCAAGACTGAAACACGTATGATCTGGACTATTTCCAGCTTAGTTATTACTAAGTTACATGTCTTTATACAATTTCCCCACTATAGAATGGGTGGGACAGTACTTCCTTTCTCCCACAGATCTGGCTGGGTATGATTCGTCAGGAGGAGGGAGAGTTGACAGCTGTGTGAATGTGCTGTGAGTAACATGCTGACATCCCAGTCTCGCACAGGGACAGCGAGCGCTGCTGAAACACGACAGGATTACCCAGCGTAAGGAATTGTGAACTGTGAGGCAGTAAGATTTGTGGTTGGGATCTGCAAATAGAAATTTGTCAGTAGAGGTTACCACTATGTGTGGTGGAGTTAATCCACGAAAGCGTGCTGTTTGTGGACTGCTGATTAAAGTTTGTGCGGGGAGTTAAGATCACATAGTTTCTAGAGAACGAGTTGGAGATCTCCTGTGAGAGACTGTGAGACTGGAGACTGTGCAAGCAGAGAAGGAGGGGACCTCTTCACTGTTTTTCTAGATGGTAACTAACAAACAGGTCAGCCTGACCAGTGTTTGCCACAGAGAATACTATGGGCACACAGTAACCAATGATAGTATACTTTTAGACAAAAATATACTGTGTTTTAATCACATCTTTTGGGATGCTACAGAGGTAGTTTTGGCTTTCCTTAGTACTTCTTTGTGCGCACTAATTTTCAAAGAGAAGCATTCAAAGTTGACCTCTAGTACTGCTAAGCACAATCTCAGGTAGTAGAAATTATAGCTAATGGCAAGATTGATTTATATTTCAGCTGGAACAGGATTCATAGTAGCAAGTATTAAGAATAAAGAATTACTTAAAGCCAACTGCATTTATAATTCTGAATGAAACTTCACAGTTAACCACAAAGTAAGTCTTTGCTGAAGATACAGTCCATTGTTTGGGTAGACAACAAAGGCAGAAAATATTCTCAATGTCTCTCTTTTGAGTGGTTAATGGAATGCAGTGGGATTCTAGCATCACTTCAACATCCTGAAGAGCATGGGCTGTCTGCTTTCTTTTAAAGAAGAACAGTGTTTGTACCAAATCTATAGAGAAGAGCTTGTATCACAGCATCAAGATGCTATATATTTGTGTGATGTTTGCAATTGTGAAAGTAAAAGGCTTACACAAATGCCAAGCATTTAACACTGTGAAAAATTACTTCTTACACTGAAATGACCATCAAGGAGCAAATTAGCAGCCCAATTAGCAGGATAATTTCTGAAGTTAGCAGCCCCATCCATCCTAACCCAAATAACACAGTGAAGCAGCAGGACTCCAGTAGTTATTGGTCAAAAGATCTCATGCTAGCAATTTCGCTTGCCAATTTTTGGCCTATTTCTGAAGAAGTTAGTACCCAAATGTCTTCTTAGTTATTCATCTCCTCATAAATGCAGAATTTGGGGTTGAATTACAGGACTGCTATGGAAATTTAACCAATTTTTGTAGATCAGACCATACTAACGTTTCCTTTCTCATTATAGTTCATTTAAGAATTCAGGAGGAAATTTCAAATGTGTATGTGCAATGAGCTCTCATATAAACTTTTTGGTCTCAGTCAAAATCTGCTTAATGATGAATTACTGCCGATTTCAGACACATTTTGGAAAAGTCTTGAGCAAGAAATTTGTTGTGGTCTACAAGCAGTGCTCTGACTACAAATGAGCAGAATGGGCTCCTCTTAAAAAGTACTCAGAATAACGTTTTGGTCACATGTTTTTTGTCATTTTACATGCTCCAAAGAATATGAAAAACCTCTGAAGAGAGAAA